TGACTCAGGCCCAAAGAAACCGAATACCTATCATTTTTATTTCGTTTACGTCATGTGCTTCCTTTTTTCTAGGGTATTCCAACACACTGTGGTTGTCGCTAAATTGACGAGGCAAGTCCACAATCGTTCGTAATTGTTACGGATCAGACTGAACGAACAGACGATGATAGAATCGGTCTTTCAAGTGGCTTATACAACCTAACTTGTTTACAGATATCCTAAAACATTGTCGGTGAAGTTGCCTAGTCATCCTGCTTACAACTCGCTCAATTAAGCAATCACAATGATCAGGGCGTGTTACTGTTCGTGAACACACACGAGAATCTGCATGTGAAATAAAAGATTGAATCACCGTGCCTGTTTAGCTGGATTTTCTTTCTTGTTGAAAGGCTCAACAGAAGCATTGTATAAATTGGCGCTGGCCTGTTTCGCGGACGTTTAGTTCCTATTTGCTGTCATTAACGTCACCGCCACGGCGTGGCCACCACAATGCGAGTCTTTCTTGGAGCACTTCCTATACGCCACCCTGATTACTAAATTTCGAATAGCTAAGGATACAAACAATTTTTTAAAATTAACGCGTGGTCCTCAAATTCATGCTAAAGTCTTTAAGCCAATGATAGCCTTATGTAGTTTTTCGATTCAAGGGCCGAGGTGGAGTGGCCATCCTCATGCTCACAAAACTACAAGTGTGCGAAGTGAAAATTGATCCTTGTGTTCTTCTGTTTGTACGTCGTTCCGGAGCTACTGAGGACAACCCAGCATTTTAGGAGGGTTTGGTAAGCACTTATGAATCGACGATTTGTCAGTCGGTTACAAACTTTCGTTTCCGCCCTCTTTCATAGCTAAGGTACAAACAATTTTTTAAAATTAACGCGTGGTCCTCGAATTCATGCTAAAGTCTTTAAGCCAATGATAGCCTTATGTAGTTTTTCGATTCAAGGGCCGAGGTGGAGTGGCCATCCTCATGCTCACAAAACTACAAGTGTGCGAAGTGAAAATTGATCCTTGTGTTCTTCTGTTTGTACGTCGTTCCGGAGCTACTGAGGACAACCCAGCATTTTAGGAGGGTTTGGTAAGCACTTATGAATCGACGATTTGTCAGTCGGTTACAAACTTTCGTTTCCGCCCTCTTTCATGAACACCAATTACGCACGTATCCTCCCCGACTACGACGCAAGGTTAACTCAGAGTTGAGAACCCAGCCGTTGCTTGTTTGACATTCATTGGTGGAAAACACTACCGTGTAATACGTCACTGTACCATCTGCCCCGAAGCCATGGTCGCCCATTGGCCTCAGTGGGAAGTCATTCAAGCCTAGACGGCTCCACTGTCAGTAAACTTTAATGCGTTTATGCGATGTCGATTTTGTCACGATGCCACTAGAACAGCTGGTCAGAAGCAACTCAGTCTTACCTGAACCCTCACGCTTCATATGATCAGACGATTAATGAACCACATTATCGTCTCAGCACATCCCGTTGTCCAGCTTGTGGCATCCTACTGTCACCTCCAATAGAAAGCGTACTTTCGATGCAGTTGAAATCGTAGTGGGAACCACGTTCTTTGCGCACTAAACGTTCCAGGTAATGAGTGGAAAAGAGTAATTCTGTGGTCAAATATCACCCGTGCGACCGGTCAAACTGTTCACTAAAAAAGATCGAAGGAATGTGGAAAGCTGAAACTGAAAATTACGGTTTCTGGTTCCCTGGATGTGGACGTGAAAACAACAAGGACTTCAACCAGCTGTCCTGAAAAGTATGGATGCAATAGAAGAATCGCATGTATCTGGCTTCCAGAGATTCCACCTATGATATTGAGCCTGGTTGCAGTTCGAGAGAATCACCTCTAAACTGCTTCATTAGGCTACCTCCATAGTGTAAGTGCTCGAATCTGTTGATTGTCGCTTGAGAATCCCATATGAACTCCATGGCTTTAGTGACCCACATTTTAGATAGACCCTTTGGCCTTTTGAATCCAAATATACTAGCACACTTGACTATCTTTAAGCAAAACGAGTATAATACGACATACCTGAGCACCGAAATCGTTCAGACGGTAGATATACGGCCACGTGGTACACACTGGAGCACTTTCATTTCGTGTCGCACTTACAAGTCAGGTCACCCATGAAACACAAACGTCATCGACAACAATCCGAAGAAAGCTTTTGGATGACTTAGGACGTACACTAGTCTTATCTATAGGTTTTGTGGCCATGTGCATCTCGCTACAGGTAGGATTCCGATATACTACTGAAAAACGAACGCCGATCATACGTGATCGATTTTATTGAGCCACTGAGAGAGCTCAATGGAATGGGGGAATGACTGCTCACTCTAAATGACATTAACGATTTTGAATGATGCGTTACTTCGTTGTTTCTTTTTACCCCATTTAATGGGTAAGACATCGTTCCTTTGTATCGGGACACTGAGGCCTGCCTAGTCCTCACTCGCCGATTGAACGCTTGCCATGAATATCTGGTTACAAGGTAATAATTTTGAAGCTCTTGTAAAGATAGGCGTTTAGACGATACAGCAGACAGACCAACTACGGTCGAAACCTGTCAACATGACTTTCATCGAAGTTTCCAGGTATCCGTGCTTTATTAATCCAGCACTTAGTTTCGACTGCAACTAATTACTCCGCTCAACTTATCGGGAAGGACTGACCAGGGCGCTCAACTGAAAGCACGTTCGTTCAACTGACTGACCGCATACCGTGGTTGTTGGTTCAAGGATGTTTCTTTATACCTATAAAGCTAGAGGCTTAGAAAGATGTGATAATTTCTTAAATGAGGAGAAAAGTTAAACCCGCTGATGTTTCCTGCTTTCACACGCTGGGGTCCTCACTTGAGAGGGAAAGTTGCGTTACACTGAAGAACGGAGCGCAAACCGGCGTGGAATAACTTGGTTTGTTGACTGCTGTCAGCGCCGTTGGACCGTTTCGGCTTTGTGAGCTTAAGATAATTCAGTACTTAAGGCGCTAAGTTACTGAACGGAAGTTCCGTGCTTTGAACCGAATACCTTCATCCCGACTGGTCTTGTTTAAACCTGGACAATCAAGCAGTACCTTGGCCCTCTTGATTATTTTGGGCGACATGGCAGCTAGAGCTGAACGATTATTTGCTTTATTGAGGCTGTTTGCAGGAGCAGAGGCGAAAGTATTGTGGAACAAGTAGAATTCTCCGAGAGTAATTACATACATGGTTTTTTCTAGTCGAGAAGTGTAGTTTGTCACCAAAGGTGAGGGCAGGGGGCATGTATAACCGACAGCCACACGTGGTCTGTAAACGTTGGAATCATCACGAGACTTTTTATGTTTTCCAAAATGTTACTCGTTAGTATTGTGAAATTTTCCAGAAGCTCACAAGCAGTGCAGTACTGTCACACTAATCACGAGGTCTAACGCAGGGAATCATCTAGCTAGGAAGTTTTTCAATGTCTTGAGCAGAGAATTAACTATACTACGGGAATACCGATGTCTTTTGAGGCAGTCAAATGACTGAATGTCGGAGTCAAAGCACGCGCACAGCATGTCCCGTTATGACTAGAATCAAAGACATCGCTTTTTGTGCATATTGAGTCCCTAAAAATCGCCCCCACACACATATACACACCAATCGACAAGCAATGGTAACAGCCAGAATCATCGACTGGTAATGCACTGCGCAATCAGACACCGACGGGCTCTCTTCTAAAAAGACTAGCTCTTGGCGGTTCCGAGAGGAAAACATAGCTTCCCAAGAGAAATTAAAAACAATGACTTTCCTACTCTTCGGCAAAGACCATTTAATTCCCAAAATCAAGCACACAACCACTACCTAGCAAGGCACTTATTGCAAGACTAGACATTATCGAGGTTCGACGGTTTGCGTACCACAATAACCCACTGAGCTGTTTTGGGAGGTGGCCATTCAATATCCAGTTCATCCTACAAGGTTCGTCAGTGGATGGAGATCCGACGAGCGTAGTCTGCTGGCCCTCCGAGCTCGGGAGTGTAACAAAGGCGGCAATCTGTTCCTCAACACAATATCCAGTCATCCTACAAGGTTCGTCAGTGGATGGAGATCCGACGAGCGTAGTCTGCTGGCCCTCCGAGCTCGGGAGTGTAACAAAGGCGGCAATCTGTTCCTCAACTCGGGGAGTAACACGCTAACCACCGATCCATTGTGGTCACGCTTTTGATCCGAAGGCTCATCCTCCTATCTAGGTTTTGGGGCCCCGCAGCATCTCTGGAGGGCTACGGAAGCGCTCGCAAACCTTGGACATTTGTGGCACCAACGTGACACCAGCTTGACTGTCAACGGTCCGCAACCCCACTCTATGGATCGGAGACGTGGCTGCTGGGTGCGCTAAATCTTCGGAGACTATGTTTGACCATTGGTTTCTCCGAAGCATTGCTCGAGTCTGATATGAACATTAGATTAGTATTACTGAGGTACGTCAAGTGGTTTTCGCGGAAGTTTACTCTCCCTCGATAGATCAGCTGGTTACATTGATTGGGCCATGCAGTGCGTAAGCCAGAGGATCGTTTGCCTCGTAGAGCTCTCTTCGCTCAGCGTTGTGTAGGATAGAGACGATGAGAGGCGGTTAGCGCATAAATTGGCAGCGAATCACGAAATCCCTTACTAGTCAACTCCCTCGCGTTGGCAACTGACGTCTTCCAGGATGGGGACCGCAGGATGGGACAAACCGAGTGATACAGTGCATACAGCGTTGCTCTTGCATCAAAGCTACTGTGTTCGTTGCTTAGCTGTCAATTGCTGTCACACTGGAAAAACAGAACCATTTGGCATCAATGAACTGATTGAGCTATCGCCTACAGCACGTAGTTTTCATTCCCTTATCCTCATTTCCTCAACAAACAAAGCTGTAGCAACTGCAACCACTGCACTCCGGTAGACATTTTTTGAGCTAAGGTAGACCACTGACTGACTGACCAGATGGCGAGATGTTTGATGGTGTTTGTGGCAGGACCCCTATTAGTAGAATGGCTCAGTGGTTAGAGCGCGAATTTATTGACCGGAGGGTCCGTAGTTCGAACGTGGTCTCTGCCTCTCGACTTCCCCTGTCTAGGCTTGGACAACACGACAGTATCCCAGCACTCGTGCTTTCTCTGGGTGGGATGGCAGCTAGGCACTGAAAAGTTGTTACAGCTGAACGATTTTTATTAGTAGAATAAAAGAATAAGGACTTCAGTTTTTTCAGGTAATTTATGTGAAAATGATTAGAGTGTCTTCAAAAATACATTGTATTGATCTTCATCGACCAAACCGAACCGCTCGCAAAACTGCGCATCATCACCATTCACGACTTCACTGAGAGGAGTGTAGAGGGGCCTGAAATGAATGGAAAACACCAGTTTGTTTCGGCTCACGGTAAAATGTGTTGTAAAGTGGATGGAGTTTTTTCCCAGAGACCTACCCGTGGAACTCGATAGCCCAAACGGCATGTAGCCTCGTAGCAGCAGTTAAATGAAATTCTGACAAAATATAAAAGTCGGCCACGGTCACTACCCTTTTCGTTCGACGCCAAACAAGCTCTCTGGGCAACACAATGCACTAGAAAACATTATATGTCCTTGCATTACTGTTATAGGCAAACGTGAACTAAACAGCTGGGTGGTACTAAGACTGCCTTTTGAGAGCAGTGAGCGAATGTTAGTCGGACCTATTGAGCCTTTCTTACACCGGCCTTCGGGCAACGCGTGCGACCGAGGTCAGGACAAACTTGTGTAGGATAATCGTCAACATAGCCTTGAAAACTCGTCATCACTGAATTCGTTCGTGTACAGTTAGCCCGACCTTGGTCATAACAATCGGGTCCTATATACAAACTGGGCAACCATGTTCCTCGTTGTGTCCAGTCTTCAAGTCGGTCGACATTGCATGCTGTCTTGGTGAATCAGTAAAGTTTGCGTGGCTGGTTTACTTTCCACAGACTTTGTAAATGCTAGCTAACTTCGTCATTTCAAGAAGCATGATGTCGTGACGGGCGGTTTAACAATTCCATGAGCTCTAAGCTATTCTGCAGTGGATGGAATATCCTACAGTTAATCTCTCATTTCGGGGACAGTTGTACGGGCGCCTGTCGAAAGGCGCGGCGAGACACCATGGTACATACGTAGAGCACTAGCATAACTAACTCCGAAAGGTCAAGAGTGAAACTGTGACCCAGCATCATTTGCCATGCGCCTCCCACAACCAAGTGGATTCAAACAACCCTATTCGTGTATCGCTACGTAACCCTAATCTAACACTGCTGCTAATTAGAGTTCATCAGGCAGCCCCCAGCACACAAACGGTGTTGGTGCGAAGCGTGATTTTTGCTATTATCGCCATGTGATACTGTATGACTGATGAGTGTCTGATTTCTCCGCTGTTGCTGGCGCACTATTGCGTATACTCTGCATGTCTCACATCTCGTGGCTGAAGAAGGCAAAAATAAATGTTTTCTGAGCTGACGATGCGGACAAGGGAGATCCGGCATTTCAAATCCGCAACGTCGTAGAGAAAGTATCAGGATAAAAGTAAGCAGTAACAACACGAATGAATTTGTGCACAGTATCTGTTGCATCATCTCCTGGCACACACAACAGAAAGTGTTGCGTAAGCGCAATTCTGAAAAGTGAGTGGCACCGACAGCTCCTAGATTATATGCTGCATACCTTCTTGTTTATGCTATTCTGAATTCGGCATGAACAGCACATGATGCAGCATGCAGCGCGGATGCATTCCGCGGATAAAGTGCCATTTACATCGAGACTATCTGACTGTTTGTGGCAGCTCTGTTCACCTTGTCCTTTGTTCTCCTCTTCTTCTCTAAGCTCTTGAAACTAAAATTGAGGAGTAACACCAAGTTTAACACTGATGGTCCACTGCCGCATGACCACAGAAAATTTAGTCTAGATAGCCTTGAAGTGGAACGAATAAAAAAGGTATTCTATAGAGGAAAAGGTCGGTAGCTCAGGTAACGTAGACGGTCGTTGGCTTGTTCGCTGGGCTGGGCACTTTGATTGCAAACGTTTCATCGCCAATCGAGGTGGCATCATCAGTGCGTTACTGGGGGTTGGTGGTTGTGCACAACCAAAAAAGGTATGTAAAGGACCCCGTTCTAACCCAAGACGGTCGTTCTGGTGTTCATTCCGATTGTCTGAGAGGAAACTATACGGACGGATGTCACTGATGTCGACTGGCAATCATATCTCCCAAGCCGAATGCAGAGTCACATGAATTCGTCCTGAACGAAGTTTACGGTTCTCCGAATTTCCGTGATTTCCTTCAGGCCTTTCAGTCAATCCCATCGTCCACATCAGCCTGCATCTTCCTGAGGGAGTCATAGACAACGGCAGCCATCTCATATACGATGGCTCGTCATACATAATACGAAGGGAGTACAACGCTTAGCACACTACTAAGCAGAAATAAGTGACACCGACAAAGTGTGGTTGGAAATAACCTTGGATATAGGAGACGTACTTGGTTGGATCCGGCTGAAATAGTCCTCGACGTACCAGGAAAGTGGCCCGTTGTGAGAGAAGGTGGGGCGCGCTGGATAACACTGTTGACCATTGTTGAATACGCTCCAGAGGCAAGTTCAGGCGGGAATGCATAAACATGAAGTTTTGTGCCAAACGATCTCGCTCTAGTAGAACAAGCAGGGGGTGGCAGGGTGGGTTGATTATCGAAATCAGACCAAGAAAAGCCACTCAGGATACTGTATGGTATACGACAGGTCAGGTGCCTTGGTAAAGCGACAAGTGAACAGAATTAACGACTTATGTGAGCGAAATGCCCCGTTTTGCCAAAGTAACAAACATCCAGGCATCGTAGTCCATGGTAGGAATTACTTAGAGTGATATGAACTCGCTGAGAGGAAGTACATAATCTATGATGCGATCTGACTGGAGACCAAGTCATACTAGATGAGTATGAGGCCGAGTGTATCCACACCCCGGACAATTGTGACAGTAAGTAAGGATAAGGCCGAAAAATTCTAGGTTTACCGGTCAGCAAGGCATTGATATAAGACTATCTCCACACGGTCGATGACGATGAAGGCGAACGAAGATAACTCACTGTAGAAAAATGCTCATTTTATTTACCCTCGTTGGGCTTTGAATAGCTTCTCTCAGAGGAGGCCGATTTCGGTAGACTTTTCAAAAGAACAAGGACATATCTTGGAAATTATAGTAAGTTGTGCGAATGCCACAGTAGAATGCTCCAGCGAAAATTGGGTGGAGCGTTTGTAGCAAGGAACTACCAAGGCGCTCAACAAAAAATGGAGCTGATTTCCCAACCTGCCAGGCATTCGCACGGAACTGAATTAATTCTTCGCTGTAGTCAGCTGGTGAGTATATTATAAGGCGGCAACCCACGGTTATCAAAACAAGCTAAGGGGAAGGACATTATAAGAAATCGACAGGCCGAAACACACTTACCCGTGACTAATAATGTGGCGTTCTGACAAACCATTTGACGAACCGCTTCATTGGAAAACCCCATCATTTTTGAAAGCACCACATAAATATCCTGAGGAAGGCAAGAAGACAATAATGCATAATTGGAGTGAGGCGCATTCTGTGTAAAGTGTTAACTGTCCTGTCGCTAACTTACACATAACCAGCGTTTGCTTCTTACAGATCATATGGTATACTACAAACAACTTCCAAACAATTTTTCCCTCACGTTTACCCGAAATTCTTCGACTGTACACTTCCGCGTCTCAGGACCAGGCCTCCAAAACCTGCCCGATTGTAGTCGCCATCATTTTGGAAGCCGATGCGATCGTACAGCCACTTCATCATCAAATTAAGAGTTAGCGGAACTGTCGTAACGATGATGAGGCAGGGTACGCATCTAATTCAAAGTGACACCGCCAGTCACGCTATTCGGGCAGTTCGACTCAGGTTGAGCATACGCACTCAATGTAACTGCTTTGTCCGGCGATGCTACGCTTTTTCCATAGATGTGCATATATATTCGTTGCTGCTGTGAGGACACATCAGCAAGATATCGATCCGGAAGCTGAGTGACCTACGATGTCTGCATCATCATTTGACCCAGCGAGCACGTGCTGTCTTGTTTTATTTAGTCCAGAATAGCCACCTGGCACATATCGCTGATCAGCGCTTGAGTACTATTCACTAGCACCGAGGTTACGCGGGTTGATCGGTGTGACTGTATTGACCTGTTTTTTAGTCCTATCGGCCTCCCTACTCTCATGCAAATGTCCTGAGTGTACCACGCCCGGAAAAAAATTGCACCTCGTCCCAATCAGTTAACCATGTGTAACAGGAGCGCGATTGGCTTTCCCGCTCTTGAGGTTATACTTCCTCCAGTTGAAGTCAAGATGGTACGGGTGAGCATCAGGGAAAAACAATCTACCTTTGCTCAACTTGGGTTGTAAACGCAACAATGGCCATTCTTAAGCTACTCATAAGTAGGTAAGATGTTTCTCCAACTGTGTACCAAAGAACGGTAGGGGCGCAATTGGTTTCAGAGAGCACTCCGAAGTACATTGCAGCGATCACGTTCTAAGCTCAATTCAATAGTTCCGAGATAGAGGCAGAAACTTGCTATGTATAGCTCCAAAAGTTTTCGAAGCGCAAAACTTAGTGAGTAAGGTGTTCTCCTAGAGAGGATCTCTTCGAAATGAGGCCATCCCTACAGGACAACGTCCTAAATTGCTTCGGAAACAGCAAATTCCACCATTTCCCATTGGTATACTGCTATATTTAGGTTAGGGAGGTCTATCGTTACATGACTACTTGATTGCGGCTCAAAAGCAAAAATCTCAGGTGTCAAGGTCAAATAAGAAATAGATTTAGTCACTGACAGTGGGAAAAGAGGGGTAACGGTCGGATGAAGCGATCTTTCCTTCTACTGCATAGTACCGTGTATGATGTGCGAATTAAGCCTTGCTGCCCACTAACTGATCACCCACATCATCATCGACAGCACAGCATCGGTGTTGGGTAATAGGGATCACGCGGTATCCATCATGAAGGACTAGTAACACCGAAAAACACCCAGACTTTAGCGAATATACACTCATTTGCAAACCAATTTCCTTTTTTGTTTTTCGAGAGACTCACCTGGAACCCAGCAGAATCTCTCGTTTGTGATGTTCTTAGGCAACTGAATGTGCTGCACCAGGCCGCCTCATGTTTCAGGCGCTACGATATTCGAGATATCGCGATACATGTATATCTTTGCAGTGTACTACTCATAAGGTTGCCGAAAATCCGTCAACAGCCGACGACCAGTTTCGCCCTTTTTGGGGCTCATCAGGTAGGCGCAGTCCCAGAACATAACGTTAACGGAAACTCGGGAACTGTGCCTACCTGATGAGCCCCAAAATGGGAGAAACCGGTCGTGGGCTGCCGACGGATTTTCAGCAACCTTATGAGTAGTACATTACAAAGACAAACACCCAGACTCTCTCTCGCCCCCCTGGCAGATCGAATGTTGACCACCACCACCCACACACTCGCGGCATACTGAGTTGGGCACGGAAACCAGCACTCTCTTCCGTAAACGATGATTCGGTATGCACGATGTATGACCCTGTCATCCGATATTTTGGCGCTGGACATCCCCCACTGCACAACCAGACGCACGCGTTCTAATTGCATGTTTACGGATTCGCCGGCACGACCTTACACTAGCTATGGTTCTGAGACAATGGTGGTCAAACGCCTTAGGACGAATCAGTTTTGCTTCCCGAAGAGGCCACGTCTCAAGGCTCACAATGCTGTGAACGTTCGGTTATTGTGCGTTATGCGCTCTAAAGTTTCATTGTTTCTTATTCTAGAACAATTGGCTGGGACGTGTGCTCAAGGACATTTAATTCAAAAACGAAACACGATAAACCTGAAGCATGCTGAAAAGGGAGTTCGGATGGCTTTCATGAGAAAGTCGATTGGGCAGTTCATTGTGAGTTTCCTCCTTAATTACGGGATAGTGAAAACACTGGGTAGGGGGAAACATACTATCGGCAAAACTGTAAAAGAACGCTTGAGGTGTCTATGGGTTGGGCAACAGTGTAAGCTACCTAGGATCGTCAAACGAATGTTTCTACGGCATTGTCAGAGAGGTAACCGAAGGATTCAAAAGTGATGAACTAACACACACGAGGGATTCTTTGAGCCATTTGAAAACATTGAGGACATAAATGTTTGGGAATAACACTCAAAGGCTCTCACCTTCGTTTTCCCCAAGGGGTGCAAGATGAGCTTTGGCACCGCTACAACTGATTTTCGTAATTCATCCGCTGATGGAGAAAGAATAAAAACGCATGTGCCATAGAATACATATCCTACCAGATAGCTGAAATACGGTCTGAATACTGGCCAATTGTCTGTCCACGTCCACCGGAGATAATTCCAAAATAGTTGGGTGCTTGAAAAACATCTGAACAACATCGGCCTGAACGAAATTATGCTGCAGGAAGTAGCCAATTCGAGTGTCGATTTCTTCCGAACTTAGCTAAAACGATGATGATTAGCAAACTGTATCCATCCCTACCTGTAGCACTTTGGGGAATACTGTAAATAACCGGGCTATCTGCTCCAGTGAAAATCCATGCCCGTGTAATTTCCATATTACCGGTTCTATGGATTGATGGAAGTCTAATTTGACCAACATGTTAGCGGCGCCAGGAACCGATTCCAACTTGGAAAGATCCACACCAAGACGAACCATCTGACTCAGTGTGTAGGAACTTGACGATAATTATATACACGAAATAGGGAAGAATACCTGTAAACATATGGAGCTAAATTACCCGACTGAGGTAGATGCGGAATCAAAGCATTTAGGTCCAATTCACGAAACCAGGACCGAAGAATGGATGTACTTTTCGGGATCGACTGGTTCATGGAAAGCAGTGATGAGACGGGAGTAATCGAGTCGGAAACAGATGGAGAAGGGTTAGCGAATTCGGCAAAACACGCACGCAGATGCTGCTCCGTCCTATCGGGCAGCGGAGGTGGGTGCGTGACAGATGGAAAATGGTGTTGTACGGAGGAATCCACGGTTTCTTTCTTTTCAAGTGGCAACTTTGGCTTACATTTTCGCGCTTGCCATCTTGGTGAACTGGGGTTGGGGAGGATCTCCTCTCGGAATTTCACTGTCTTCTGTTTGGGACGCTGTGTTTCGCGTCGCAATTCACATATAAGGAGCCTCGAGTAATTCTCCTGGTGAGCTGCTGAGCTAAGTAGCTGAAGAGATCCAATTGTGTACCTCACCGGAGAAGAAAAGGCAGTTCGGGCACAATGGTATTTCACAGCATACATAGGCTAAAAGGGAAAGGCATGAAAAGGTAAAAAGAAGTATGACAAACAACGCCCCCTTGGTCATCATACATCCATGCTGCTTCCAAAGATGGATGCTTTGGATAATACGGTTTGGCCTGGCGTCTCAGGACATCGACGACTATCCAAAGTCTCCTTGTGGAGGCTTCCATCAAACAGATGAAAAGAGCAAGTTCCTGGCGTTCTGACCGGTCTAGTGGATGATATTACCAATGTATTAATTAATGGTGTAACAAGCCACCCTGGCTCATGACTGCGAAATAAGTTTTGGATGACGTGTCTTTCATCGGTGCACGCATAGGTCAATGAACGGCCTGGGCACTTTGGCCTTATCCAAAAGGTGTACTAGGTAAAAACCTATGGGTTCCGGTGGAACGGGAATTCCGTAATCCGCCAGATTTGGTGCATAGCGTGGAAGTATGGTTTAGCCATCTCATTCTTCCGGTGTCTAGCTGCCATGTCACCCGTGTTAATAGGCACGGGGTGTGTCAGAGATTTAGAGAATATCGAACCGTACAGTCGCAGTAACTGGTCATCTAGCACCGCAAGTAAGGGTGGACGGGCCGTTGGTTATGTATGCTGATTTGCCACCTTCCGAGAACAGTGCGGTTTTAAGTACCTAATTCGAGGCGGCTCGGATCTAGAGGTGGACAGGACATGAAATAGTAGAAAGGAATGAAGGATGTTACAGACGAGAAGTGCAAATCAATTTGGTTCTCACGAGACTCACCTGAATCCCTCGTTTATGATATTCTACAACTGAACGTGCTGCACACAGGCCACCTCATGATTCAGTTGGCACGATATTCGAGATATCGCAGTATATTTTCATAAAGGAAACTACTCACAAGGTTGCTGAAAACTCTTGGACAGCGCGCGACCGGTTTCGCTCTTCTCGGGGCTCATCAGGTGGGTGCAGTCCCCAAGTTTCCATCAATCTTATGTTCTACTTGGACTCAAATTGGACTGTTTTCGAGAAATACACTAATTTGCAAATCAATTTCGTTTTCACAAGAGACTCAACTGAATCTCTCGTTTATGATATTCTACGACTGAATGTGCTGCACACAGGCCGCCTCGTGTTTCAGTTGGGACGATATTCGAGATATTGCATTATGTTTTCATACGGGGAAACTAATCACAAGGTTGCTAAAGTAGCTTAACCAAGCTTTTCTGCACTACTCGAGGTCTCATAGATGAAGTGTGATCGAAAAAGTCACTATGGGTCCATTCTGTGTACGTTAATGTACCCATCCTATTCGTAATTTTTCGTTTCCAGTTCCTCTGGTGCATGAAAGTGCAGTTGACTAACACGGTGCGAAAGTTCATGGTAAAGTGGGACGGAATTAATGACCGAAGCAAGCTTCGTATCTGCATCACAGTGCACTAAGCACAGAAAACACGCTGTCTGACTTGACAGGATAGCAATAGGCCAGCGGTAAGACACTCACACGAGATAGAAAATTAAATAACGTTTCAGCTACATTCCGCGTGCTTACCAGCAAGAATCGGCCCATGTACACCGTTTTCTTGGATAATGCACTAAAGATCCTAACCAACTGAGTCACATAAGACCTGATAAAAGTGGTTGCATTTTTCTGCAAAGTTTGTAACACCCTTCAAATTGATCAGCCTTCTAGCTTACAGATCGTCTATTCAACTTTAGCAGCAGCTCACTTCTCTCCTATTGTCTTTAATCTGGACGTCACTTTAGACCGTAAGTCTTGATTTTTTATGAGATAAGGGAAAGAAAGTGTTAATCTTGGAACGAGAAAGTGGATGGCTGCATACAGCAATTTAAGCCTCTGAATTCTGTTCGAGATCTCTCACACCCGCCCATCGCCAACATTTGTTAGGCGTCCTGTTTAAATGGTGGTGACATAGCGGCATCGAATGCCAGATGTTCGGAGTTCCAATCTGGGCATATTGACTAGTAGCTTTCGAGTGAAATTCGAATTCAGTACTTTCTAGTTTGGTATGAACCAACCAGATGAATTTCTACTTGAACCCAAATTGGACTGTTTTCGAAAAATACAATGATTTGCAGATCGATTTCGTTTTCACGAGAGACTCAACTGAATCTCTCGTTTATGATATTCTACAACTGAATGTGCTGCACACAGGCCGCCTCATGATTCAGTTGGCACGATATTCAAGATATCGCAGTATATTTTCATAAAGGAAACTACTCGCAAGGTGCTGAAAACTTTTCGACAGCCCACGAGTTTTCAGCAACCTTGTGAGTAGTTTCCTTTATGAAGATGTTGCAAACGGTTTGGGACCGTTGGCGCTACTAGTGCGACGGTGATACTACTGATGGGGAGGCACACTAGTATGTGTTGTCCGTAAAATTTCGCCTTGCGTCTCTTGAACAGGAAAGATCTGTTGCGGAATTGGTGGAGTCACTTTGTAACATTTGCTTGAATTTGAGCGAGGAATGATTGGAGTCAATGAATATCCAGGAAAGTTCAAGGAGACGCGTTCAGGAGAAGATGGATGTCCAGTTTTTATAAATAAGATGCAAATGGGAGTTTCACATCCCTGTCCAATGGTCTGTAACCGGTCAGTTGGCATTTTCTAATAAACAACTCCGCAGCGAAGGCCTTCTTCCTTTTACTAGTCTTCTAGGATGACATACACGTAATCACCCGCCGTTGTTGGTGGGTTTCGATTGCATTCGGCCAGTTGCATTTAGGCACGTGGCGAACTGGTGGTTGTATGAAGTTGGGCGGAAGCACGCCCGATCTCACGGGGCTTTCCAGCGAAGGAATAAGGCTTTGATAGTCGTAAGCGTCTTTTTGAAAACTACACCCCTCATGTCAATCAGTTTACCAGCCATGAACCAGGTACCAAATGTAGGCTGACTTCATCTGATACAGTATTCCTCACCGGAGAATGCGGGTCTGGTAGATACGGCCAAGCATTGGAGAAGATGGCATGTTGAGTTAGCTCAGAAGGCATACGCCTACTGCATACGAGGCCTAGCTGCTTACCAAAGGTTTGCACCAGTGGCCAGCCGTGGCTTCGTGGCCGAGTGAGGTAAGCCTGGGGGTGGGCCTTTAAACTTTGCAGGTGGGAAGCGCATGCCAAACCGCGCAGGTGAATTATTTAGGTTGGTTAGGTTATTTAGAACAGTTTGCACTTTTGAAGGATCTGAACCAAGGAGGGCAATGCCGTCCCAATACCTAATGTCTATGAGCGAATGTCTCGGGAGCATTTTGACCCCCGAGGTTTCAGAGGCAGGCGGAGAAATTTCAAGCAGCACATCAATAACAAAGCTGAAGAGGAAAGGTGAGACCGGGTAGCCTTGTCTTACACAAACTAGACGTGGTGAATTCGGATGAAATCTTGCCATATACTCGTACGCGCCCACAGAAGTTCGCATACAGTGCCCTCATTAAGAATATAAATTTGGAAGACCCCTTGATCGCCCAACATTGCCACAATTTCCGACGATCGAAAGAATCAAAACCAGCTTCCAGATAAAGAAAAGAGACTAAAGTGGAGCGTTTGAAGGAGTAGCGTTGTTCAACAATTTGTCTCAAGGTGACGATACGGTCAGTGCATCCTCAGCCTGGGGTAAAATCCAGCTGGATTGTCACGAATCTCTCTCCCGAAAATTATTCATCATCATCAGCAGCAGCATCAGCCGTAAGAACCACGTAAATACCGTACAGTGGTCAGAGCTGCCACAACCTCGTTCCCTGGGGAGATAAGGTGGATGGCTGAGTATTGGAGGCGGTAGTTGATATCATTGAGGAATAAATACAGGATTGTCGGTGGATTTTTATTTGGGGAGATTGGGGGAACTATGTATTGAAGGGAATAGCTTGGATGCACCGGTGCGCGACTGGACCATGTCTGACATGTCTGACAAATGTCTCTAACCATTATTGCGACCCGTCTCAGGGCCCTCAGCCAGGGATACGGCAATGACCATCGTAACTAAGTTTTTTGATAATGGCTTTTATACTTCGCCATCAAATCATTGTTTAATCTCCCCCGGCTCGTTTTTACCTTTCACGTGGTTTTGTGAAAACAGCCCTTCGAAGAATTCGGTCGACTTGCATATGGGGCACGTGGCCCGTGGCCCGTGGAGTCTGATCAGTTCATCTGTCGCGCGCGAGTTATCCCTTCCGAAAAAAATTCGACGTAGTTCAGCATTACTGATCCAAAGCTCTAACCAGAATCGGGCAGTGTGCCAAAGACATCGACGTTAAAACACTGAAAGTCCTCACGTCCTCGGTTCGCAGCGGACAGGTTTCTGGCCAGTATGGGGGCGAGATAGTTCAGTGATTAGAGCGCGAATTTACTGACCGGAAGGTCCATGGTTCGAACCCGACTTCTGCCTCTCGATTTCTCCTGTCTAGGCTTGGGAAACCTGGCAGT